AAGAAAGTACATAGTGCTATTGTATGATCTCCTAGCAAATCAAGGTTGATATTATTGTGATTATACACTAATGACATAATAAACAGTAATATCTCGGTCTTAACGGATATACATTGAATTTCAAATTTTAAGCATGATGAAATCAATGACGACAATACGATTAGTATTCTGTGTTTTATCTAAAATCGAATAATTCATTAATATTCTTTATGTCAGCTTTGTAATAAATCTTTAGTAATACATAAAAATAAATCCATATTAAAAAAATTAATAAATAGATTACCATAAATAGAGACCGGCCCAAAAGTCACGCGATCGAGAAACAATCGAATATATCTGTTATAGCTCAAGCAAACAGACTGATTATTTTTCACCGCTATATTCACACATCGTATCCATAAGGACAAGGCTAGAGAAAACCTTCTTTAAGTACCGCTATTGACTTCAGCGAAAAAAATTTTAATTTTTTCATAGATAGAACAAAAACAATACACAGGGCGGCGCAAAAGTCACTTTATCAAAAAAAAGAACTGAATATCTCCATTACGGTTAGAGCAAACGAGTTGATTTTTTTTATCAGTCATAGAGACATGCCTAGAGACACCCTTTGTTAAGTTTATTGTTGTTTTCCTATATGTGAAAAAGTAAAATTTTTCTGTTCAGGTCAATAGTGATGCTTAGCAAGAGATCTCTCTCGGCATGTCTTTATGATTGGTAAAAAAAATCAGCTCGTTTGCTCTAGCCGTAATGAAGATATTCAATGTTTCTTCGGCAGCATGACTTATGTATTCCGCTGCATATAATATTTATATATCGTTTATATTAGAGACTTGATGCTCAACAAAACTTCGTGTGGGATGAGATGCGACAGAAAAAAGGTCATATGAGATGTGTTACTTCTAAAAATCTCACGTTTCGTCTCATTCCATAGGACATTATATTCATATCAAACGGCTTTCAAAACAGTAAAACTTATTAATATATTTACATATTTGATTACCTATACAGAATATTATACCACTGACAGCAATCCAATAGTAGCGATGAATTTACTTAGTTTCTATACCGAAATCTTGAAGAAACCTGCTTTCTATATTTACTAATAGTAAACATAGTACTCGATTTTTCTGTAGCATTTAATTATACTTTACCTTATATCATAATAATACAATTTCTATAAGGGCTGTTTGTTATAATAGGTAACGATATAATTAGACCATATTGTATTCGATGAATACTTTCCTTTTTGCCCTTCTATTTGTGAGTATTGTTATTCTCGTCTTTAACACCGACACGCACACCCATACCCCGCATTCTCATAATAATAAATTTAACTGTAGTCTAATGACAACAATGAATAACCATATACAGAATAGAATGAAATTTTATTTTTGCTAAAATGATTGAAATAGACAATAACATCATCTGTAATAAAACAAATAGTTATATTTTTCTTTATTAAAATATTTATATAAATGACTGTATGTTCCATGGAACGGATGGGTGACAACTAATGTAAATCTTTTATTAAATGTGTCATGCAATGGGATGAGAAAGAAGTTTTGGGAAATGATTTCTTTCCACGCGGAACCTTGTTGCTCAAAATATATATATAAATTTATATGATTAATTATCTTGCGTATTATAAGTTATTTCCTCCTTAGTGCATTGTAAATGAAGTATGTGTGTGGACAACAGAATAATATTCTATTAATATTATATTTCATCAAGCAACCATATGTTTTTATTTTGTCAGAAAAATTCCGTTCATACAAACATTTTATTTGAGACTACATATAACTCAAACGAAGATCAAATATTATTGCATGTTTTCTGTTAGAAAAAAAAGAAACTACTTTGATGTTCTATTTCGAGAGAGAAGTAGATCAGAGCTATTTTTTTGATACATTCTATCATACTTCTAGTTAATTCTATCCCAATTTATTTTCTTATATTCTGACAGACTAATTTGTTCGACATAAATAACATTCAAATAAAGATTTTATTCGGTTGATTCATAGGTAATCATATAGTTTCGTTTGTTTTTCTTATTTTGTTAAAATATGACCATTGTAGTACTGATATCTTAACATATTTACAATAATCTTTTCTTTTTGTTTTGCACGTACATGTCTATATACTTGAGATAATGTTTACGAAAGTCGAATATATTTTTAGAAAAATAAAAGCAATAATAATTGTTTATCGTCTATTTTAACAAATTAAAACGAAATAATAAGATATGAAAAAGTGTCTATTCACATTTCTTTTATTATTGACAATCATCTCAATTGGTGCAACGGTATTCGATTCTTTTCATTGTAAAGCAGCCACATGTCACGAATTTTATTATGTAAGTTATTGGATCTTTTTTTCAAAAATAGCAATAAATATATGTATTGATATTATTATAGGGCTTAAAGAATTTTCCTCGTCAAAAAGATTATGTTAATGTATGTTATGATACTGTGCGTTCTATAGAAAACATATCAAAGACGTATGGTAAATGTTTTGATGAAAAAACAGCAAAATTTAATCCACCGTGTATTTGTAAGTGAAAGTTTTTCGTTTAAAAAAATAACAAAAACTCAATCACCTTTTTTTTTTCTTACGGATAGACGCATTAGCAACAACGATGAAAAGATGCGTAAATGGATTGAGTGATGTATCAGAACATTCTGCTCGATATTATTGTGGTTATAGACTTATGCAAAATTGTGCTAAATATCTTGGTCTGGAGCGATTTCCGTATAATACCGAATATCAACGACCTGATGATAGTTGACTTTAGAGAAGATCGAAACGAACGTGCAGTTTGTTCTTAGTTGTACTTTTAAGTTTTCTTTTTGACATGTAATAATATCGTAAAAAGAAGATTTACATTTGAAAATACAAGCACTTCTTTAAATTCAGCAATGAGAAACATACTGTTCCTCTGAATATTAATAGGTGAATAATATGTCAAAAAAAAAGACTTAAAAAGGTGAGTTTTTTGTGCCTTTCAAACTCACATGGCTTGATGATATCCTATGAACTTGTACGTCTAAGATCGACTTTTGCTTTTTTGCTTATAATAAAATAGAGAATCATAAATAATATTCACGAAGAAAAACCTAACAAAAATAAGATATTGATTATTTATATAATTATCCTTATGTTGTTTTTATTTTGTCTGATCTTTTATCATGAATTATTTATATTGTTATATTTAAACTTAATGAAGAAAAAAAAAAGAGAGAACATTATGAGTATGTTTTATAATACCGGTTAGGCTCCAAATTAACAAATCGATGCACTGCTTTCTAGAAAATTGAAAAATTTTATCCTTACAAAAGAACATTCCCACGTGATTCTCTCTCCATATTTTACTCATATAGGAGATTATTAGAGTAGCATAACATCCAAATAATTCCTTTTCGTATGCAGATTTAACCGAGATACGAGTTTCTGGTAGATTCTTCTAGAAGAGTTCCCGTTGTCGAAAAAAAAAATCAACTTTCGGAATTTCGATCTGAAACTTTCTACATATGAAGTTCTCTATTAGGCTATTTTAGGTCTAAAATTCCATCAGCTTTGGATCATGCATTGTCAAGATTTGGATTTTTCAATATACCGGGTGTCCAAAGATTTTTGCGACATTCTTTATTTCGCATTTATCTCGACTTGATAAAATGACAAGATCTTGATTTTTTTCTTAAAAGATGCGCCATGAAAAGCTCTACAAAGTTTGTGTAAACAAATCCCTATTGACTTTCTCTGATGGTTTTTCCATACTCAAAATGAACTACCTAAATAATAAAGCTATTTTTCAGCATAATAATAATGTTTGCAAGCCATCTTTGTTTTGCATATATCTCGACTTGATAAAATGAAAACGTCTTGATTTCTTTCAAAGATGCGCTGTTAAAAACTCTACACAATCTGTATGAACAAATCCCTATTGCAAAACGAAAAGCTCTTTCAAATATTTTTACTATGCTCAATACGGGAGGACATAGCGCCACCATATAGGTTATTTGTATTAAGTATCGGAAAACCATTAAAACCAGTCAATAGAGATTTCTTTATAAGTTTTTGTAGAGTTTTTCACGGCGCATCTTTTAAGAAAAAAATCAAGATTTTATCAATTTCTCAAGTCCAGATAAATGCGAAACAAAGAATGTCGCAAAACTCTTGGAACACCCGGTATACGCCTGAAAAAAAATAGCTTTAGTCCGTATTTGACTTATATTATCACTATAAAACAACATTTTCTTTAAACGAATTACATATTCTGAAAGCGCATGGAATTCTATATCACTCTGTATATTTATATTCTAACTTGCAACCTATTTGCTGCAAAATAAAACGAGTACAATGAAGGCACCCTCATCGTCAAATTCCCACAGATGTTTTTCCCCATCATCATCTCAATTAATCTTTTAAATTTTTCATCACTATACAAGTAGCTTTTCAAAAAAGTAAATATATATTTTGATAGAGCTTTTCAAGCTCTATCATCTTGTATATACATCTTTTGTTTTGGTCTCCATTATTGCAGAAAAAAATTCAATACATCAAAATGATCTGCATTTGAAAAGGATAGAAATTTTGCAATCTTTCGCTTTTATTTTAGTTGTTCTTTGATATTATCTAGTAAAAATAAATTCCAATAAAAAATTATACCCTCTTGTAGCGCTTGAAATTTTCTTTCATTCTATATATTTTTCTTAACGTCATGAATTAGTTTTTTAAAGAATAATTCAAATATTATGTAGGGAGTCTTCTCAAGAAATTCAAAAAAAAATGCATTTTTCGGTTATCAAATAACTGTTTTCCGTTTCTTTTTAAAAATGTGCTCTTGTGGTGTTTATCTTATCACTTTTTTTCTTTTTCATCTTTTATGGATGAGAAAAATTTTAGTCGGATACGTACACGTCTATAAATAGTATTACTAACAGGTGTATGAATTACATTCTCATTCATTTCGGTCTGTATTCGATACAATTAATATAATAACAATGATTACTCATCTAACTGTTGGTGAACGATGGCGAATTATTTCATTACGTTTTGATCAAGGTATTAGCCCAAATCAGATAACTCGTATGATTAACTGTCCGCTTCAAAGTGTATTTAGTATATTACGTTTATATCGTAAAACTAATAATGTTCTTGAACGAGAAGGTCGCGGTCGTCTTAATGCTTTAAACGACGATGAGATTCGTGTATTAAGACAATTATTATACAGATATCCAAATCATACTTGGAACCGGACAGGCCGGTTGCCGGTCCGGTCCGGTCGAACTTTTAAAACCGGCCGGTTTTTACCAGTTTTTTTTTAAGTTTTAAAAATTTTTGGCGCACTACAACTTGCATATTTTGCTAGTTTTTAACGGTTTCTATGATTTCAATGATCAAGGGATATGAGCTTAGAAGTTTCCAACTGATAAATTTTCAATCATTGTCGAAATCCCAGCTCAAAATATTGGCTAACACTTTCCCATCCTAGAATGAGGACCTCGGAGCATGTTGAATGAATTTGTTTATGTTCACGAAAAATAAGCCAGATGTTAGAAGCTAATATTGGTCTAAACTATAGATTTTTCACCTCGAAATTTTGAGTTCACTTTTCTGGACTAATTTTACTCCATTCTCATAGAATCCCAATAGCTAGTAGTTTTCAGTTCATGCTTTCATAACAAAATATAAGAAAAGATTAAGTTCCGTTGTCAAGATCTTGTGGACTATGGCCATCATGTAGTTGTCAAAATACTTAGATATTAAAAGACCTTAAATAGGAAGTCTAATATGAAAGTCATACGTTCAGGGCTGGCCCAAGTCAGCAAACATTGGGGGGTTGTTTCGGATATTTTTAATGCGAATAAAACTTTTTTCTAACACTAATCACGAAAAAAAAATTCATTTTTGCTGGGTAAAAACGAAAATTTTCGATTATTGGGGGGTTGTCACAACCCCAAAAACCCCCTATCGGGCCAGCCCTGCATACGTTCTAGCTCACCTTATCTTTCTGTCTGCAGTAGCATCCTTTTTTGCGAATTGAAATGCCTTTCAGCGGTGTTAAAATAATTATTTCAAATAAAAATAAATTAAACTTATCAATTGTAAAGAATTCATATCGTTATAGGAAAAAATCAGCCAAAACATGGTTAGATGTTGTTAAATATTAGTTGCTTGAGTTCTAAGTCAAACATTTTTGAAAGAAATGGTCGTTCCTTCTTATGTTAGGACATGAAATACGGCAAACTATAATACGAGCTGTTACTATTAGAAACTTCAAGAATTATGAGTTTGACATCGTATATCTTCGTCAAACTGAAGTAATAGACTGTTTCTCTAAAAGTACTGATTGGTTAATTGATGCATGAAATGCACCGGTTTTTTTACCGGTTAAATCAAGAATTTGGACCGACCGGTCCGGTCCGGTCTAAAAGAATCTGACCAGTTCCAAGTCTGGTGAGACCTAGTGACAGCCTTCTTCAAAACTTACTCTGGAAGAAACAAATGAACACTGGAACTTATGCTTGAATAGCAAGAAATCAATTTTATTTATGTAGTGTTATTGTTCTTTCTACCAGGACTCATTGTTTCTAATTTATAATAGCTATGTGATCAAAAACAAAAAAGTGGAACATATCCCATGTGATGAAAATCGCCAAAATATCGGCGATTTATCACGATTTATCATGCCGATTAATTGTGCGATTATATCGCGATAAAATCGGCAGCTTGGGCGATTTTTACCGATTTTTTGCCGATTTTTCCAAAAAAATCGCGATCATTCCGCGATTTTCCTCTAATCAAAAGCTAGTCCATTTCATTCTTGATCCTAGCATTTTACTATTTTTTCTTTCGTTTTTCATATTACGACTTCTAGCTTGCATAAAAACGACTTTCTTTACTTATATAATTGTTTATTTTTACAGATAATAAGAAGAGAATTAGTAAAATTTAAACCACAAAAAGCTGCACAGAAAACTTTTTTTATGGTACAAAGAAGCATAATACAATCAAAAGAAAAAGCAAACGAACAATAAGGCTTAAAGCAAAAAAAAATAATATTTGCACAGTTCAAGTAACATTTATTATTTAATGCGTCCATCCGTTTCATGTTCACTCTTGTTGGTCATTATTCATTCAACTGGGATTCGGTTGTATTGAAGTACTTGTAATAGATTCATCTAAGACAACAAGAAAATAAAAGTCAGTGGGTACTCTATAAAATAAAAGTTTTCAATTTTACTTACTCCTTGCTGCTTATAACTTTAATGTTCTCCCTGGTTAGGACGATAACTGAGAATAAAATCGTGTGAGGCTGCCCAGTGATAAAGAGCCAGATTACATCTGGTTTTATGAGATTTTTATTGGGTTTTTCTACAACAAAATCTAAGTTATAATCGAATGAAACTTTCCAAATTACAAGTAACTCAATTTTTAAGCAAAACTAATTCTTCAAAATCAAGGATACTTTAGATTTTAATCAAAATTCTACTTGATTTCGAAAGGTCTTCTTCAATCCAAAATAATCCTCGAAATTCAATAAAATTTTGATTAAAATTCAATATAACTTGATTAAAATTTAAAGTATCCTTGATTTCAAAAATTATTTTTGATTAAAAATCAGATTATTTGTAATTTGGAAAATTTTAATCAATTATAATTTGGATTTTGTTGAAGAAGAGTCTGATAAAAATCTCACAAAATCAGATATAAGCTGACTTTTTCTCACTGGGTCGACAAACCATGGTCATGCACTTCGTGGAATAATTAAATTGTTGCCTAATAACATCTACAACAAACAAAATAACATGAAATTCGATACAACATTGTTTAGAAACGTTACTCATTACATACCATATATAGCTTGAATTCATGGGTCTTCATTCATCTTTTTAGAATCAACATTTTGTAAATCTCGTTTATCAATAATCAGTAAATCTATTAAATTAGAGCACATTTAACTGTATTTTCTTTTGTCCATATGTTATCAACAAGTAACGCTCGTCTGTGTGACTCGCTTGACCCTCGACTGCATATTAGGCCCTTTCCATTTTTTCTTCCGATCTACAGTCTTCAACACAGCTAGTATCCCATGTTCCAAAAGGGTGGCTATGTATGTGTATGCTGACATTGACGTCAATCTCATTGTGCATAATTGTATGCGGGTCCGGATGAACATTTTGTCACAAATGCATCCAATGAAATTGATACCCTCACATTGACACTCAACAATAAATCGAAGGAACCACACTATGACGACGATAGCCATTTATACCCAAAAAAGGAGCTTATATTCAGCTTTCTGAGAGGTAATGAAGCAAAGCTCATTCGCGACACTTTCGTGAAAACGCGCCATACTCCTTAAAATTTCTACTATAAGTCCGTTCGCTTACTGCCACATCTGCCGATAATATTGTTTACTAGAGCGTCCGCTAGCAAAATAGGGCTTACTTGAACTTCTAGCTTACAATTAATCATTTTAGGTCTGGTCTATAATTGGACTGCCACATTTGAAAGAAGCTCCTACTCATATTAGCCATCAGACTAGATAGGTAATTTCAATATATTCATATACATTTCGACATTTGAATCAATATCAACAATAAAGCATCCCACCAAGGAAACCCCCGTTTATTTCATTCAAATAGCATTCCGATAGAACGAATATAAATTCTATAAATAATGTTTTCCCTCAAATCTACTATTCAAATATCGCACACGTGCAGAAAAGGCGTTCTCACACTTCATTTCAAAATATTTCTCAGTTCTTAGCAACTACTACTCCTTATTCAAACCCGTATGACCTAGACTCTTGATGTCTATTTGATGAATACCAGCCACTTGAAGCATTTCTTTAAGGGACTTTCTAGTACAGCGGCTAGTCGTGAGTCGGTGCCCCGCGGGGCGCCGACTCACGACTAGCCGCTGCTATGTTTCGTTCTATTTCTCCAGAGCACCATCGTTTTTTATTCACACTTCATCTAATCCCAAACTCGGCTTAATTCGAAAAACCATTAGATCTATAGCATGAGAATTCGCGATGGGGATTTCTAAACCAAAGCTTCGTTGTGAACTATTTCTGATTTCTTCAATTTCATTCTGCAGCTGAAAAATCAGAGTCTTATCGAACTAGCTCATTAAGAAAATATTAGCGCAGTTTTCTCAAAAATGTCTGTTTCTACATTAAAAAAAAAAATTTTCGAAAAAAAAATGTTTTTTTGACCTGCCACAAAAAATAAGAAAGTTCGTTTCTGAGTGGTCGGTTTTCGACCAATGAAACCTCGGCCAAAAAAATGGGCTTCAGATTCGGATTCAGGGACCTCGATAACCGATAACAAAGTTCACTCAAAACGACCAAAAGTCTTAAAATAAGCTAACCTTTCGGGTACGTTTTTTTGACCTCAAGCAAACACAAAGAAACAAACCCATTTTATTCCGTATGACCCTCCCTTCAGTCGAGGGAATAGTGTAGATAGTGTACATACAGTGTACAAAATGTAAATACTGTAAATAGCGGGAAACAAGTCAAGCCCTCCTCCTGGTGGTGTTTCCTGGGTAATGCTAACGTGCCTCTGCACACCTTTCAGAATGCACACGACATACGATAATCGTACTTCGCGCAGAATCGGAAAAACCGTGGAATTTGCACGGGGTATTGCTACTATTAGATAACTATTCTTTATGTTTTCTGCTACTTTTGTTAAATGTTTAATCTAATGTAAATGAATTATAAGAAAAAGACAGATCATCTGTTATCGACAAAAAGTGTTCTTACATTGATAGAATTAAATCCACTTCATTGTTTAAGTGCATTTATTGTACATCGCGTATTGTCTTTTGTTAGATAAGTAGCCGAATTGTTCTCGGCTGTTTCATTCAACGGTTCTAACGGAAATATTTGTTTCTTTCATTGTCTGGTCCTGGATGAGTTAGCATGTCTTTGTGCTGCTTTCAACAGAAAAGCCGATATAAAGATGCTAGCAAGAACAATATATACATTAATAGCGTGTCAGAAAGGCTTCTGTGTGGTAAAACCGAAGTCTTGAGTGATTCAGAGATACATATGACTCATCAGAAATGAGACCGATTTGGTTTTTAACCAAACCGAATCGACCGAACCGAAATCGGTTCGGTTGGAAATTTTTAAAAATTCATTTGCTTACGTTCGGTGCGGTAAGAGATTTTTTTCTTTCAGAAAAAATGCTAATCGATGCCAGCCCGGTCTGGATCGGTTTAGAACGGTATCGGTACCAGTCTAAAAAAACACTACCGGCTGTAACATTGTACTATGCTATAACCGGTTCCTATGAATTTATCTAATAGC